TAGACACGTAATGAACGACCTAAAGTCTCGATTGGCCCTGCTTCCCTGTCTATCCCAGCCAGTTGAGTCCAGAACGCAAGTCACAGCCTCTGAGATATGAATCATTATATTTCAAACACACTGTTTATATACTAACCAAGTAGACCACACCGTACCATAAAAATAGAAAACAATATTTACACAATATTAAACAAGTGAAGCAAATATCGACCAATAGGGAATGTACATTTAAAGTCCAAGGACACCATTGGACTTAACATGATAATTATTGGTATATTTTTATGCACATGCTAACAATATTTTTAGAGTTAATAAATCTTCTTTGTACCAGTTCTGATGTTTGAACTACACGTCTTGGGAATTGCAGTGGTTCTTCTTTTTTTTTTCCAAGTATGAATAATAAGCGACATGGATATATCATGTTCTTTTTTCCAATGAATAATATGTTTGTCGATTATTATTGATTCATCAGTAGCGTTATAATCCTGATATGTAAATCAAATAAACTCACCTAAACTATTGATTGTAGGATTTACTAGTTTCCGACCTAATGTCTGACGATACTTCATTTAAAACAGTTGATAAACCCAAGCTAATAAGATTTGAAAAGGTTAATCAGAAATCAAATTTAGAACAATTTTCTGACTGACAACTGTCATGTTTATCAAAGTTTTGATGACTTTTGCACTTTACTTTGTATTCACATTCATTCATGTTGCAACAAATAAACAACTTACTTCATATGTTTTATAGTCAATCGAAGGTTTATTTTCGAAGTTAGCATTCAACAGTTGTCTAGTGTTCTCTACATTTTCAGTGGTTTTCTAATGTGTTTCTGCTTTAAATGAAAACTACTTTCAAAATATATGTATATATGCCACAGAATGACGATCTTAATACTATGAGATTTATTATTATTAGTTAAAAATATAATACTTTACAATTGATTAATTGTTGAGTAGTGACCCATTTGGTGTTTGCGTACTCCTTTATTGCTAATTGCATTCTATCAATAAAGTTACAATGTGGTCATTTGTCTAGGTAATCAATATCGTGTTCACTCGCTCTAGATGCTAAGTAGTTTTAAGTATTTAGCAGGGAGCTCTTTACCTAGGCAACAAGGTCGTTAGTGTTCGTTAGCAAGGGGTTTCTTTAATAAAGTCACAGTAATCTTGAACTTGATTGACAAAATTCGATTAGTATCGAAGGATTAAACAAACATGACACTATTCACTACACAAAAATCAATCAATTGCAAATATTTCAGTCTTACAGGAAGTCAGTTATGACCTCAATAGCTCAGTGATGACATCGCCGATCTTGAGGTCTGTTGACGCTGGTCAGAGTCCCACGGTGGTATACATTTCATAAAGATATCAGGCACACCAATTTGATGAGTGTCAAATAGCATGAAACCTTTGTCCAGGATTTAATATTGGTCACTTCCAACCGTCAAATAATGTCACAATTTCAGTGATATTTTGAATGTTTTCACTATTTAGTAATATTTATGTTTTCACGTTAAATCTGTTTGGAACTTTAAACAGTTTTCACTTCCGGATGAAGTATCTTCAATAAAACAATCTTTATCTTATTTTTTTTCAATATGTTTAATCTGTACAAAATGCACTCGACTGATTTAAATTGATGATAAATAAACTGAAGTTGTTCAAATACAGCAACTACACAACAAATAAATAATGAAAACATAAGTAAAATTTCATGCGTTACTGTTCAGTAAGAATAAAATCCACACAGACTAGTTTATTGTTTATTGAAAATGTTTACACTGCATTGAAAAGTGCCTTTAGTCTCATACGTCAATGCTCTAAACTCTAGATTATTGAGGTATGGTGCACAAGTTTAACTTCGACCAATCCACAATATTTCCTGACCACCTTCTTTCGTTTTTGGTGAGTAACTTCCTTATTGGTTGCGTAACTAAAATATGTTTGTAAGGTCAATAGAATTTAACAGTCTCCAGTATCATATATTGATAAATTTATTTATTTGTTTATTTCAACACATAAATATTGGTACAAGAAGGCACCAAATATATATGCGCCACACCATATTTGTATGTGTGGGCTGTGATACTCCCCGGGTGTCCAGACCGAAGTAGGTGGTTTTCTTAGGGGGCCACACCCGAGCCTTTGACCTAAAAGTCTGATCCAAAGACAGTGGAGCATCGTGAGGAGATGCATTCCCACGGTAGCCGGTGATCAACGGTTGGTTCATACACCATTTGTTCCCTCAGGATACTGGAGCCCATGTGCACCATTGTTTTGGAATCTGTTTAAAGCGCCGGACATTCTCTTTTCGTCCTCTCATTTTCGTAAACAACACCCCCACCACTAGAAGGCAGTGATTAGGACTTCCCTGTCAGAGGCTGTATACGCGTGGCCATGTGAAAGCATTTCGAGAGGGAGGGCGAATCCACCCTACCATCGGCCATACTTTTTATCGGTACAAATTAATAAATTTTTCTTTGATATCAGCACCATGTTATAGGCAAGTAAAATACAATTCATTTTAAGCTTATGATAGGCTAGTGAATAGTTTTTTTTTTAAATAGAAAACTGATTGCCTCAAAATGTGCTTACTTATGCTACATCAGAAAAATCTTAATTCAAATAAGTTTATAAGAAATTATAATATACAGGTAAATTACGAAGTCATATAGTACATAATGAACGTGTTATATACTGATAAACATTCAGATAATCTAATTTTGCAAAATTAAGTCTTATTACAATCATATCTTAGTCTTCATCAGGTTATCAATACTGTGCTTTATGTTAAATTCCTTTGTTTTTCAAGTATATGTTCATATATTATTAATAAAGGTAGACGTAGAAATATAAGCACCTAGAAAACGTATGTTTTAATCAATAATAAACTTTTCATTGATTAACCTTCATCTTTTGGTTACTTATGAAAATCAACATAAATTGGATGTGATGTAACAAAATCATGATACGATAAACAGTTGTATTATCTTATTTTAAAAGTCTCTTAGAATTTTACAAAATCCATGTTGAATTATTTTGTCCATACAACTCACTGTTTAAATTCAGTACAACATTACTTGATAAATTTGATAACTCACTTAACAGATTGATTTGATATCAGATGGGTTTTCTGGAGATTGTAGTAATTTCAGTGGTTAAGATCATGTGTCGGTTGAAGCAAGACCACCATGGAAAATATGGAAGCACTGGACGGCCGTTTCGTTCTATTGTGAGACTTAGATAATCATTGAAAACCATGAACTACTGAATTGTTGTTTCATTATAGTTTACGACTTATTTGCATTGAATATTCAAAACTCTACAAGTGTTAAATCCAGGACAGTCTGGTCTCGTGACAAATGTATAACCTTAAAACTGTTGAATGGGGATTCAGTGGTTTTAATTTCTAAAATTAATCAATTTATGACAGTTAGATGAAATTTACTTGTGAAATTCTCGTGTATTTCCATTTGGAAAACCACAGTGTATTGTGTGTTTGTTATCATTTATGGACTTGTTACATAAATATGAAAGCAGTAAATGTAATTAAAATCTACCTTCTCCAAACAATGCAGTTAATTAGCAAATTTAGATGATTACAAATAACTAACACCTAATGCCAGATAAAATTGTTAAAGAATTCCACTAGAAGATTTCATTCAGTTGTACTGATGATAATCACACATTAATTGTATGTTTTAGTTACGAGACTATATTTTGTGAACGAACCAATCAGATTTAGGATATCTTGGAGTTTGGCGCGAAATTCATTCATCCATTTGGCTAAATAGCATTTTAGCTGATGTCAGTTCTTGATAAAAACTCTAAATCTAATCGGTAACCCTAACCATGAAGTGGAAATCATAATTCTTATTCCTCACACCCTGGTTTATAGCTCACATTTAGTCCTAGTTAGTAGGTGAACATTCTCAAGGTCACTTTGGTGTTGCTCAGAAGTCATCCATAAATTGTAGTCTTACCGTTTTAACAAGTGATCTAAGTAACTAATCAGATGTAAAACTATTTCAATAAATCTATCCCCATCTCTGATAAATTCAGTCTTAAACAATTAAATTAGTTATTTTCAAATTTGGTTACTTTAATTTAATTAGTCAAACCTATTGACTTGAGCAAATAAATTAGGATGCTACTCATTTTGTTTAAAATAATGTATACACTTTTCTCACTATGATATTTATCGTGTCACCCTTTACTTATTAATTTGTCATTGTATTTTCTAACTTGTCCAATCTTCATTTATACATGTTAAAACAAGAATGAAAATGTATAATGGTATCCTTTTTCGTTTAAAATAAACTTTTTAGTTTCCAAGTTGAATTATTGAAAACCATAAACCATTGGATAGTTTTTTTTTCTTTCTAGTTTGATATTCCTTAGCACTGGGCTATCAATAACTATGCTAACATCAATTTATAATGAGGATTATTTTTGAAATCCTCATCGAACTATTTGTTTTTTGTAAGCAATGATGGATAGTGGCTAGCAGTGGAATCCAGTTTGACGCGCGTTTTGTCCTATTTGGGTTTCGTCGGTTGGATGTACCTACATCTCAGAGTTGATGTTCATTCTGGGACTCGAACCTAGTACCATTCACTTCAAACGCCATCGAGTTATCCACTCAGCTACTGACACCTGATAGCCACTTGCTTATGCAATGGGGTGAATCTAAATTCTCTTGGTATTGTTTGGCTTGTACCTTCCCATTGAGGTTTAAGACTGCAATGGATGTATGCCAATAACAGATTGATCAATTGCAGTCTTAAACCTCAATGGGAAGATACAAACCAAACAATAGCTAGTGAACTATTTGTCTTTGTTCATTGTGTATTCTTCTATTGAATTATTCTAGTTAATATAATGTGATAGTTTAATTATTCTCTTACTCAAGTTGTATTGTTCTTAGTAACATATTATTATTATTATTATTATTATTATTATTATTATTATTATTATTATTATTATTATTAGGTGAATGTTGGTACAAGCTCAATTCATAATCAATCTGTTAATAATAATTGTACACTATCTGAATTCTGTTCTTCATCATATTCACTACAATCAATTAATTCTGATCAGATCAACACAAATTCATCATCTATTTTTCCAATCACATCAAATTGTTCTTCTAATAGACAAAAGTTAAACGACTCATTATCACATGTTGAATGGTAATACTTATATGATAAAATTATTGTTGATTATAATGAATGATTATTTTTATTTATTAAATTTTAATAAATAAATATTTGTTAGAATAATAGCTTATTGTATTCAATTGTAGTATAATTAATAGTCCCGTGAATACTCTTTTAGTTTTCTCCTATTCAATGGTCACGATTTCATTCACATGATATATGTATATATGTATGTGAGTAGGAAAATAGGTGATTGAATAGAAATAAAATTTAAACTATCTAATGATAAAGTATATTGTATTGTTTATCTCAATAGAATAGTTGAAATACATCTTAGGATAAAGATATTTTGTCAATTTAGAAAAAAGCATTCTTGATTTATGATAACATGTTTTTAGTTTAAAGTTAATCTTGGAATTTAAATGGATACATTCATTATGCTTTATTCATGCTCTTCCTAGTGATGATAGAGTCTAATTTTAGTAACTTACTAAATCATGAAGTGTTAATGATTGATATAGAGTTTGAATAGTTCACGATAGCTATTTCTTAAATTGTATGATTTATATTATTAAGCTTTCCATTGTTCACTGAAGATTATTTGAATATGATAATATATTTACAAAGTTAACCTGGATTTCAAATAGTTCATTCTTTTTTTTAAGTATGTTTGTGTTATAATTCTCTCTGATTACAACCCAGCTATTCCTATTGCTTAGTATTCTTGGACACCAATTCACTCGATAAGTCCCCAAATCAGAACACGGTTGTACAGGTAAAGGGATTATATTCCGAATAAAAAGATTAGATGGAAATAAGTAGTGCAATAGGGAAAACGTTAGTATATTTTTACATGAGAAGATTCTAGAGTGTTCTCCAAGCATCAACTAGCGTTGATTGGATAAGAAATAGCCATTCAGCGTGCACCAAAGCAATCGTGCATTGAGCATGCTTTAATCCAATCTAGGTCCCGCTAACACCTCCCCTTTGAGCAGATTAGTAGGATATGGTGCATCAAGGACGTTTACGCTTCTTCTTGGACTGAGGTGTTTTTTCTTCTTCTTCTTCGTATATAATTATCACAGGGTCGATAATCATTGTACATCATTGTACATAATGCTTTTAAACAAATACAGTAACCAGTGTTTTTGTATTAGATTTTAAGTTAAATGTGATGTGTTAGTGCTTGGGACATTGTCTTTGTATTTGGACTCATGATTTGAATGTTGAGAGTCAAATACTAAGACGCTTGATTTAAGTTACGAATATGAAAGTTTGTTATGTTGGCCTATCTATTCGGATTGTGTCCAGCTTCAGTTATATTTTTATAGTAAGACAGTAACATTTGGCTTCATTAATCGAGAAATGACTTTAGTGAATATTCTTTACTTAAATGCTTGTGAACATCTTACAACTTCAAACTAGCTATTATTTGACGATATTGTATTTAACAACTTTTTTCTTAGTCTTTCAATGATTACTTCCCTCATCAGATACGCTTTAATTAACCTGAGTTACTTGATGAACATAGTTATGTTAGATGAATATGTTGATAAAAATCAAAAATTTTGGAACATTTTACAAATATATTGTAACATTAAAAATTCTGATAGAGGATGAAGACGTTCTGAGAACTCTCATAGCCTAAGCATGATATATTAGTCATTGTTGAACTACACAAACTCAGTTTACTATCAATAAGTGAAACAAACTTGGATATATATTGATTTGAGGTGATACTTAAGCTTTTTAAAAGATTACGTTTTACATATCTATTATGAATATTTCTATTAACAGATTGATTTAATTGTAACGACTAAACTTTTAGAGTATCAGATAAATTTAGTCTATTGAAAGCATTAAAGTATGTATTTTATCTGATAACAGATCAGCATACTAAACAAAGTCGTATCCTTAAATCATAATTTTACTTTTATTAGTCCTTTCAAGGAGAAAAATGTATCAATGTTGCGATTAGATGGTGGTTGGATGTAGTCAACAGGAAACTCTGGACCCGGGTTTCGTGTTACTTGGCACTCGTCAGTAAGGTGTACTTGCACTAAATAAGGACTTGATACACATGACATTGATCACCACCCAGTGATCAATCAATTGTAATGTATCAATGTTTTCATCTATACTTTAAGTCAGTCTACTAAAGATATTTCTTAGTAAAACAAATATCTATCTTCTTATATCTCTGGTAAATTATCTCAGCTTAATCATTCATTTACTTTTCTTGATAATATCAACTGATCGACTGTACATGGAAATGAATTATATGAAATCACCATTCAAATATATTTTATTTCTTTAATTGAACTCGATAATCTGATATAAAACCCCAGAATTCTTATTATCTGTGTTATTATTCGATAAAGTTATTAAAACCATATCAATTCGTTTAGGTTGCTTTTTTTGTGTAGAGATTTTCGATAAAAATGTAGGCTAATAGCTGTTACTTTACATGCGGCCTTGAAAGTTTTCTTTATACTTATTGCTTGACATTATGCCCGATACCATCAGGTTGTACAAATAACTTTTATTAAAATTCTAAAGTGTGGAAGAATTACATAGTTGCTAGAAAGGGAATTGAATTAAGTCGAAAATCTTCAGGTGACTAGTCTCTCTTAGTATTTGTGAAGATTGTTGAATTTTATTGTTAACATCACAAATTGACCTTAGTTTAACAACCAGTTGAAAACATTAATTACTGTAAAACTGTTTGGTTTTAAAATAGAGCTATCTAACAGTGTTCATCCATCACTCTATTGGATCGAACTCCAGACCTTTAAGACTTGTGGCCACCAGTTGACTCTTAGACCACTCAGTCTACATCTAGTGGTTGATAACTGCATGATTCTCAACAAATCCCTTACACAAATGATAATCACATGCCCATCAGTAACTAATTTCCGGTGTCAACTTCCACAGTTCTAGTTAGCAGTAGTAACTAGTGGAGTTCAACTATGTTCACTGTGAAGAAGTTAACTAGAAATGACCGTTACGAGATAGTTCACTAACGTATACTTAATAGTTTTAATAATATAAATTGATCAGGTAGCAGGCAAACACAATCGTTAATTTTCCTAATACCATTATGTTATCTTTTAGTAATGTTCCAAGTACAATTATAATTCCGTCATGTATTTTTCTTTCTTAAGCAGTTTTACATTTACTAATATTGCAGCTTCTTCGATGAACAATTGATTGTGGAGAATGGGGAGAGTAGTACACAGGATATTCACAGTCAAAAATTGTCATTAAAAAATAATCATCATCACCAGGTACAACATCAGCCCCAAATATCCAAGGTCAGCAATTTCAAATCATCTCATACAAGTTCAACCAATAGAATCATTCGAAATGAATCGGGGAATAAATTAGCTCTGAAATTCACCAAGTCATCTAACAGTACTATACAACCATTACCATCCAAACCATTAGTAAAACATGAAAATTAACATATGGAACTTTTGTTTTTGTATGGTTATTATTTCATAGGCAAATGTAAATGTGCGTATGTGTTGTTTATGTATTTAAGAATTGTGTGTTGAGTGATCTTTGTTTTCTTTCTCCTTCTCTCTTCCACAAATAAACATATATACTCTGTTTTTGTACTTGTTATGTGAAATAATAGTAACTGTCCGCTTTCTATGTAATCGAAAAATCACTTGTTATTCTTTCAAGGTTTGGTATAATTGAGTGTATTAATAATTTAAAACAACTAAGTTTAGTGTGATTGTCAGTAATTTGATTTTAAAAATTAACTTGGAAATTCGACTAAGTTTTCTTTATATTGATGAATTCTATGACGTAGATGGTTTAATTACAGAGTTTTCATTGTCTTTCTAAAGATCACTATCAACTTTATGGAACATGTCAGAGGCCACTGAAACAACAATAAATGAGGGTAGCGAAACCGATAAAGGCAAATAGTAATAACAAATAAGACCGTCAGAATCAATTGATCTTACATCAATGCAACCTCACTTCTGCATAAAATAATTGTAAATGTTACTGTTCAAAATGACAATGAAAGCTACACATTTAAACTACTTAACTTCGAGACTGTTTACAGAGATTCATTCGTTATTTTGGTTATCCTTGCGGCTCAGGACCTCTTGGCAATAACTTTTACCCTGTTAATTATCACGTGATAGGATCGCCATTCAGAACACCGACATATACGGCTTGGCACTGTGCCAAACTAATGACGCGTTAGCCAGCATGAGCAACCTAAAATCGACTTTGAGTCCTGTTAGGTCCCGATAAACGTAATGAATGGTAACTTTGGAATCCTTTTATGGACCAATACTAAACGTATATTTTTATTGTATAATTGTTAAATAACTAAACTATTCATATTCATGTTCCTTTTATTATAAGCTTTATTTTGACCTGGGAACCATTATTATACATTTTACCATTCTTGAATTATGCCCTGTCTATTAGTCACTACCTCCCACATTCACAGCCACATTTGGCCAAATTTTGTATAAATGTTATTTTCTATTTTATGTTACGTTGTAGTCTGTTTAATTGGTATATAAACTCAGTATGTTTGAAATATAATGATTCATATTGCAGACATATACAGTTAATATACAAGCAGACCAAACCACATCACACCATAAATGGAAAATGTTAATTAATAAGATCAAACCAAAAATGGCTTTGAGTGTGAGAGACTGTAACCAATAGATTAGGAATAGCGTAAGATTAATAAATTGTATACTGGTAGTCAATAGGTCAAATGGCAGCTTGTAATAAGAGAAATACAAGTATGTATATAATCTAGTTACTTAATAGTTACACAAAATATATGATAGTCTATTATAGTTCTTAGCAGTTGCCATTCATTTATTCTTCGTTAGGATGCAACACCTTTCAGTTGTTATCCGTGGTAATTTCTCCTAATAGATCTTGTAAAGCTTCAAATTTGTTGCTGAGAGTTATTTTGAATTTGTTTCAGTTGATCACATCTCCAAAGGAGGCTATATTAAACTTTCGTGCTACTGCTTGGTCAACTACTCAGTGCTACTTTAGCTTAATTTTTACCTTGGTTATCAGAAATAATGATGCAAGGCTGTATCAGATCCTTTATTTGTTCTTATGTCTTCCGTGAACTTTCTGAACGTTTAAATCCTGCATGTGTTATCTATGTTGTTTTCTGTAGTGTGATGCAGTGAAGCATATAGTAGCCTTGTGTGTTCGTTTATGTGGGAAAACGGTACCACCTATAACTATGTTGTTGACAGTACGTAGATTCGCAAGTCTCGGAATTCTCGATTTCGTCTTCCAACTCATGTCGCTCCATGACGTCTTCACTCCTGGTATTATTTTCCTCGAACTGTGCGTTGAGGATGGTCAGGTTTCTTCCCGGAAATTTCTGTGTAATGGACTTAAGTATGTCATAGATCTGATCTTTGCCACCTTAGTTGTAACCATTGGTGAGCGCACAGTGCAATCCCCCTTTTTTACATTGAAGAATGCTCTGATGATCCCGGAGCCAAACGATTCCCATCCTGTAGGTGATTTCCTTCCTTTTTTTAGGCACCATTAATGCAACTCCTTGTATGTGTGGGTTATTTTCTTTGTGACGAGAATGTAATAACAGATTTATTTAAGTCAATGTGTTTCATCTATTCTAAAGACAGCCAGGTTGTATCGTTTCATTTCTATTATTATTGGAATGGTTCTTTGGGTCTTCTTCATTTTTCAGCCATTTTATGTATCTATGTTAGTTGTCACTCTGATTTTCATAATGAGATACGGTCTCATGGCCTCCAAAGAATCGTGGTTTTCATCATTACTGTTCCGTATGAAGACTCATGAACTCACAGGACAGAGTTTAATTAAATTGAGTTATTCTAGTTAGAGTTTTTGCAGAGAGGTCTTTTTTTTACACGGCTGGATTGATAATTCTACGCTCAACCCGGATACTTCATCCAGGCTTGGAGCTGGTAGTAACCCTACATCGACTCTAGGTGTAGTTAATGTTTTAAAATAAATAAAATAAATTTGAAATTTTCTCTTATACTGTATTTGGTCTATTGATTGATAAACTGAATTAATATCCTCCAATTCATGAATAACACGGTATAGTCTAGTCCATTTTATAGGCTTTTAATTTTTATAAATATATGAAGTGACCTGAAAACGTTCAATTTGTTTATCGTTTTGTTATCATTGAGTTAGATAATCTAGTAGACCAAAGGTTAGTTAATATAACTGAGAATCGATATTTATTCTTTCATCAGTTTCACAATTCATGATTGAATATCAACAACCAGAAAGAGATAACAAGATTTGATTTACTCTGTGTAAAATTAGTCCTGTATTGTAGTAGATTTACAAGTTTAATAATTGATTTCATGAGCTGATTAAAACTATACCACCATGAAAAACTTGAAGGCACTAGACGGCCGTTTCGTCTTACTATGGGACTCCTCAACAGTGCGCATCCACGATCCCGCCCCGCAAGATTCAAAATTATTTTAATTAAATAGACTAAGTTAGTTGAGTTTTTATTTATTCATAACAGTTGAGTGATTATCACAGATTTCTACTCTTATAATGTGAACATTCTGATATTTTCGACTTTAAATAATAGTTGATCACTTAAACAAATGACATTTCCTTATGTAAGTAGAGCCGTGAATTAGTGGTTAAAGGGGGAAATTTTCAGCCACTTATTCACAATTTCGAATCCTGCTTTGCGTACTTCAGTTTGGACAAACGGTTTGTATCATTAGTCCTCATATTTAGGGTGCGGCTCGTGCCCAAGTAAATGGTGTGTGTGATTTAAATTATTTATTCTTATATTTATGTGATTTTCTATTTTATAGTACGATGTGATCTGTTTGGTTTGAATATAAATCCAGTATGTTTGAAATGCATGATTGATATCGTGGAGGTTGAGATTGGTGTTGTGAAGTTAATAGCTAGTGTTAGGCAGGAATAAGGACCGATAATGATTCCGGACTGCTCATATGGGTTTTATGCATCATTGGTGCGGTCGACAAATCACTGTTATCTAATTGACTGTATCATCACGTCATATATTGATAGGGTCACAAGTTATAACAATAATTAGTCATGAATGATGCGCTTAACGTCTATGCAATAGTACTAAAAGTGTTAACATTGGTATTATTTCGACATACACTACTGATAAATTTTATTGATTAATGATTAGACCCATCAATCGGTATCATTTAATAATAAGATCAATGTTATTAAAACACTGAATGCACATTCGAAGTATTGACTTGTACTGCATAAACTGTAAGTCGATTCTTGTCTTAGTATTTGGTCTACTAGATATATAAAATGCTCAAATGTACAATATGAGTTATCACTATGTATATATATTCAGTGTTTTGATAATATCGACCTAATAATCAAGTGATATTAATTAGTAGACTTAGTCATTATTCAATCATATTTATGAGTAGTGTATGCCGAAATATTGGTGTATATAAAATACAATACCTTATTTTAGAATATTAAAGATTCCCATTGTGAAAATTAGAACAACACATATAAGCGAACAATAATGTTTTCAATTAGATCGTCATCAGGCTTTACTCTAATATACATGAATATTTATACGAAAATGTTAAACCAATCAAGGCAATATGAGTCAATAATCACAATGAAATAGAATAAGTCACTACACATAATAGGTAAAAGTACAATTTGATAGTAGGAAGACAGGTGAACTGATAATAGTGAGAATAATAAAATACAATAACAAAACTCTTATCAATAGTTAATCGTTGGAATTCAGCTGCTCCTGTGGAGATAGCTATATAGGGCGTACTACCAGGCAACTTAACCAACGAATGAGTGAACATCTACCAACTTGATACATAAAGGGCCAGAGAAAATCTATTCGCAGTTCTATATTGGTACATCTTATTGATAGCGGTTATGCAGTAGATAAATCGAAATCATTTCGAGTTATCTATCGTATACCTCCATCATTTCCCGACGGAGTCCGTTCCCATCTCCTATATATAGTTGAAGCCATTGGAATTCGTACCCCAATTTATGTGTACAGAAGAAATACGTGACCCCCCCTATCCCTTCCATGGCCAGTTATAACTTAACTAACAATTTATTTTTTTAAATTTTTTTTATTATCATTATTTATTTTATTCTATTTGTGTTATCATTAACCTTATTTCCACATCCATTATTTGTTTGTAATTTTCCTCCTCTTTGTATTCTTCACTATCTAATTATTTACACACATCTTATTACGTAATGATTTTAATGTTTTGTGATTACTATTCCTAGTCTATTTACCCATGTTTATTTGACCTTCTATTTCCAACGATTAACTATTGATAAGAGTTTTGTTATGGTATTTTATTATTCTCACTATTATCAATACCTTATTTATAAAAGTAGTAATTAATGTAAAAGTACAAATATTTAAATGTATATACAATAC